ACCTTCTCAAACCAAGACCACAGATTGTCAAAGAAATATCTGTAGGATGCAAATCAATTTCGCTGAATCTGCTGTATTCCTGAATTCAAGGCAAAATTGGTTGAATGGAGATTTGTGGAAAAAAGCTGGAGATGACTAAGATGGACAGAGAATAGAAAATTAATTTTACTAAGGATGGTAGAAGAATTGATATTTCCATTAATTATTTTAAAGAGGAAAATAACATATATTTTGATGCGCCTATGTGCTAGACTAGAGAAGATTCGTTAGGTATTGTAATTTGTCTAGGGCAAAAAGTTCATCTATGACAAACGTGTTGAGTATCTCTGGATCTGTCATATTATAGCATAATTAATTGAGGAAGTTTTCGCTGCTGCGTGTTTGTGTTGGTTTACTCTCAAAACTTGCATCTAACCCCTGAATAATGTTATTTCTACCTCGCTTACGTTAACTAATGTTTCATACCTTTGGGATGTTTGGTTGATGGATAAAATAATAGATAACCTAACCCTAATTTTGCGTGATAGCCAAATAATACGTACAATTTTTAATAAACTTATAATAAAAATCAAGCTTGATATACATGGAAGTTATAACTAAAGTCAACAAGATCTTAACAGCAGAGTCAAGATAATCAACTTCTCTGCCTATCTCTCTCAGTTACTATGCACTGTATTCTGTAATCACTTTTATATTTATTGAATACTTAATAGCTGACCGTTGCATTCTAAAGGAAGGATGGTCCGCTGTGGCGGTCATAAATAGACTAAACAGTGGCAAAACTATTTTATTAACAGCCAACATTTCGACCCGACTTTGCAGGTCTTCTTCAGGGAGGTGTGTTCAGCTAGGAGTTCCATTTAAAACTGCCAGTTCTAAGTGGCCAGCAACCAGCCAGGGACCAGTGGCAGGCAATGAAAATCTCCCATGCAACTCCAGTTTCTGAACCTGATATGCGAAAAGAGATTTACATATTGTACATACCATTCTCTCAGTTTCTGTCGACTGCAAAACATTGCTCTAATGGCCCACTTGCTTGGATCGACAAGTCGGCAAACTTAATAAACACCATTAATGACTGCATATCCTGATTATTGTTCACTCTTATAATTTTAAGCGGCAGGAATATTTTCGAACACGTAGAAAAGTTTAAGTATCAAGGGTCTACGATTACTAGAAAAAACTAAATTTAAGAGGAAATGAAGGTTAGGCTGAAGATTGCTATATTCCTATGACGAAATTACTTATCTCGCGTCTTCTGTCCCGCCACTTAAAAATTAAAATTTGCAAAACCATTATTCTACCTGCGGTTATTTAGGATTGCGTAATGTGGCCGTGTAAGTTAAGGGATGAGCAACGCCGTAATATTTTTTAAAATAAAGTATAGCAAAGAATATTCGGACCAGAGAATTTAGACGGTTGCACAATGCCGAATTGACGGTTAATATAATTGAAGTAATAACATTGCGGTGAATAAGACGGGGGTGTAAAATAGCTGGACTTAATAATAAAAGTAATTCCTAAAAGATTAATATGAGATGTTTCGACTGCTAAACGTCAGAGAATTTAGAACGAAGTGAAGGTGTGAGGATTTCATTAAGGGCGATCTTGGCAGAACTGGATTTGGAGGGCGAATGGTGAATGAATAAAGTGTGTGTAAAAACCGATTGGCGGTATCGGCATCGAATCTTCGGGTTCACTAAACCTTTTATTTTTTATTATTATTTCAACCGCCCAATATTCTCCAATCCTGAAAACAAATTGAATATATTCCTAAATATTTGTAATCTATTAATCACCACGATTTGTACCATGTAATAAAAACTACGGAGACTAACTTATATGTCAGTTTGTACATTTTTTAAAACACATTTCTTACTCTTGTAAAATTCATCATAATGGAGTTACAAGTTTTCTATTGCCTACCATCAATGTACTCTTGTATTGATCTCGGATTATATTAATTGATTCTATTGAAAATATTTATAAATTGATTATTAATTTTAGACCTGTTATGTTATTCAATTTAAACGGAATTAATTAACGATAATACCATATAACATGAAGAAAATGTGAACGTTTCGTTTGTGAACGATCCCAAAGAGGTCGAAGCCGAAGCATGCTGTGAGATTGGAGTAAGTAAATAGGGAGAGCTCTCTCCACACCAGCGGCATTGATCCAGCCCCCTCCTGCTCCCGTCATTTGTCATTCATAACTGGTTTCGTGTGTGTTCCTTTATCTCTATTGCTTTCTGTCTGTCTGACCCTTTACTCCGGTATGTGCCCTGCCGGTCATGTTCAGATAGATCTCCTAAGCCTTGAGACAAACAAAGAAAACAAATGACACTGTCATTTGAAATCACTTAAATTGAATCACTCAATTTGAGACACTGAAATCAGTCACGTGACTTCTTATGTCTAGAAAGAATGAGATAATACTGGTCAAAATATGAATTAAGAGTTCATTTAAAATTTAAAGATAGATCTTCTTAATATGTATTTAGATATAAACGAAATCATTTAAAGCTTTACCTATTGTTTTATAAACAGAACGTTTTATAGTTCATTTCAAGAGCTGATTTACCTGCTCTCTTAAGTTATATCTATTTCTATGAAACCCAAGGTGATGAATATCAATAATTTTTTTTCATATTCATAATATTTTAAGTAAAGGAAACAGAAGATGTGTGGAAGGAAACAAATTTAGTTACTGGAAAGAACATGCATCTAGTTCTTTACATATAGTTTAAGCAGGATAATATTAAATCTTGAATAAAATATAGGAATATTAAATTATGTAAAGTTTTCATTTAGAAAAAAAAAACGCGTATTTTAAATTAAATATTTTCTCTTACGTTGTATTAAAAATCTAGATAAGTGGGTGTTGAAGTAATTTTACATTTTTTTTTTTTTAAGCTTCTTTATCGAGATATTACAATCTATGTCACGTTCAAGGACAATAGTAATAGTGATATAGAGTAGCTCATTCATACCATACAATAAATAAAAATAATAAATGACAATACTAAAGTAAATTGTATATAAACTAAAAGATATTAAACTAAATAAAAATAAACCAATCTAACAAAATAAATAAACCAGACATACATGGCTTGAGTGGAGAATCTGGCCATTGCCATAACTCCTATATATTCTTACAAGTCTCTGGGCCACTGTCGCTTCAACCTTCGAGGAGGATTGTAGGGATGGCTGGAGCTAGATAGGGATTGTGCAATTGGATTTGGATGATATGTAAGGTTTTGGTGGAATTTGGAAAATTTTTGAGGATAAGGTCTAGGACAAATGGGATATTAAGGTCATGTAGGGTTTGGTTGGTTACATAGAATGGAGCATCAACTAGTGCTCTAAGGACTTTGGACTGAAAGGATTGAATGAGTTTGATGTTAGAAAATTTTGCTGTCCCCCACAATTCCAGTCCGTAAGTCCAAAAAGGTTTCAGTATTGTCTTGTAGATCAGTAGTTTGTTGTCAGTTGAAAGTTGAGATTTTCTGTTCTGTAGTCTTTATAGCTGGCCATATCGTCGGTTGAGTTCTTGTCTTTTGAGTCTTGTATGTGGGTTCCATGTCAGTCTTCGGTCTAAGAAAAAGCCAAGATACCGGACTGTGTCTGAGTAAGGAAGCTGGATGGAATTAAAGTGTACTGGTGGGCAGAAATTGTGTTGGAGTGTAAAGGTAATATGTTTGCATTTCGACTCATTCACTTTAGTGTGCCATTCATTACACCAGTGCTCAATAAGGGAGAGGTGCCTTTGTAGATTTAAGGATGCTATTTCAGGATCTGAGTTGGATGATATGATTGTGGTGTCATCAGCAAATGTTGCAAGGAAGGTATCGGAATGAGCAGGGATGTCAGCGGTAAAGAGGATGTAAAGCACGGGACCCAAGATGCTGCCCAGGGGACCACCGGCTTTAATTGGATAAATATCGGAAAATGCCGTTCCACAGCGTACTTGAAAGGAGCGGTCTGAGGATCGAAGGATTAGGTATAAGGACTGAGGGAGATGGATTTTCAGCTTGTAGAGCAGCCCCAGGTGCCATGCCCTTTCAAAAGCCTGTGCTATGTCCAGAAATGCACCCTAACAGTATTGCTTGTTTTCTAGGGCTGATGATATATGATCAACGACTCGAAGTCCTTGTTGAACAGTGGAATGTTTTGAGCGAATGATGGGAAGGAAGATTTTGGGATTCTATGAGTGGTAGGAGTCGTTTCAAAAGGATCTTTTCAAAGATTTTTGAAAGGAATGGGATTAGTTTGATTGGTCTATAGGATGTCAAGCTGTTAGGAGGTTTACCTGGTTTTGGAAAAAGGATAATGGTGGAGTGTTTCCATACATTGTTTTTAAATATTAGATGAGCTGGTTCTATAAATCTAGTAAAAATTAAATCAATGTATAGAGTAGTTTGTTTTTTTTAATCTTTTTTGCGAGGTCGAATAAATTATGTTGTGTACGTTACCGTTGATGGGATAGGATATGGGCTAAGATGAAGCGGATATATATGCTTTCAATATTTTGGTGAGTTATAGGATAATCTAATTATTAAGGTTGTATTTAAACAAGAAATAGTTTTAGACTGCAAATCACCATTTCTTTTATTTCGCTGCGTGCTAGTTTTGAGTTTGTGCTAGTGTATTTTTGCACCGATAATTTTAACATTACATAGTCCCACTACGTTCATGTATATATTAATCTAAGAGACTTCTGTTATCATTTAGTTCAAAGCCCTTCCATCCAGGTCATTGAAGCAATCAGTGTGTTCGCAAGTGCTGCTGACTTGCTTTTGTTCAGGGGCTTGTTAGCTAGTGTTTCTTTTCTTGCAGAAAAAAAACGCCCAATTTTTAACTGTTAACAGCGACTAGATTAGAAGTAAATTTTAATGAAAAATGTATTAATAATAAAATAGTTCATAAGATTTTTCTTTACCTTATATACAACTACCTAAGTAAATACCTCTCCTAATCTATTTATGTCTTCTGTTCTAGATGGCGAGCAAGGATCGTGGGAAAGTGGTTTATCCTATGAATGCAGATCACTACTCTTCAAAGCACTCCACAACCTCATCGAAAGGTAAATTAACTGTTTTAAAGAATTGTCATAGATTTTCCATAAATTTTACTCATTATCTCTTAACATTTAGAACCCTCTGTTTTTATTTAATTAATACTTTTAACTGTGCATGTATAATTGATCCACAGACCATGTGAGGCGCCAAATTAAAAAAAAAATGTAATATATTTTTACCCTTGTAAAATATGACATGAATCCAAGTGCCAATGTACCATAAATCCTCCTGTATTGTAAACAATGTGAGAAAAGCACCATTTCTCATGGGTCAATAGAAAATCTGTCACACATTGGTGTGAAAACCAGATATCTCCGGACTTACCTTGTTTCTGACACCGATATTTATGAGTCCATATTATCATTGAGGCAATGAATATTTCTGGACTAGTCAATTATTTAAGGAGATTAATGGTGGAGTTGGTTGGTGTCTTAATTTCATATGTCTCCAACTTAAAATTTGTGAATCTGGACCGTCTGGTTTTTCCATCAAGGCTTCCAATTTTATTCGTTTCGTTTCTGCAGATGGAACCTAAAATATGTATTATTTTTTTTATATAAAAAAAAATACCGATATTGTTATAAAAATGTTACTATAAGTCATATCTAACTTGAATAATAAAAATCATATCATGATCAAATAAATTTACATTTTATTTATTAGTTTCTGCTAATATATAAATGGATTGTTACAGCTAATCATGTAACTGTTTCATCTTTAATTGTATAATTATTTTGTAAAATTATTAAAACTTAAATATTTATTTTTTATAGGTGCTTACTCTCAAGAGATTTTGTCAGAATCGGGAAGTGGTACGTTCAGCCCTATGACAGTTCAGAAAAGATGTTGGAAAAGAGGTTCGTAAAAACTGTTTTAAATTATGATTTTTTAACTCTACAATAATTTTTATCCATTTTCTGTTTTAGAAGTAGGCAAAGTGTATGCATGAGCACATTATGTGTATTCTAGCTATCAAATACTTATGACACTCTTTACACATTAAAATATTGAATTTTTTTAGTAAATGTAAATACTACAATTAGGGATAATAATTCGTAATTTGAATCTCACAATGAATGGGTTAATGTTAATGTTTATTGATTATTTTCAATTTTGGTATAAGATTTCTATTTTCTTGTATTGAATCTCAAAGGAGTAATTTAAGCTTAATTAAATTTTTTTTTTTATCCCAAATTTGTTTTATACTAGCTTGCCTAGATATTTATTATTTATTTTTTTCTTCTTAATTTTGTGTGGGAAGTCTAAAATAATTTTTCTTTAAAGGTAGCAAAAAATAAGATCTTTCAATAGAACTATATATTTATTACTTAAATGTTATGGGCTATATTCCCATTATACTAGTACTATTTTTTAACTAAGAAAAACATTAATGTATTCCGATCTAAATTTTATTATTTTTTAATATTCATTTGTACATTAAACTCATCTTTGATTTCAGTGGTCATTACTCTTTTGCTTTTGACTTCTTTGTCCATGGAGAAAGTCAGGTCTGTGCTAGTGTGGATGTAAGACAGCATCCTCCAATTCGAACTCTACTGGCTTCTCATATTCAACAAGCAGCACTCCATTCCCAACCTCCTCCTGTCCACGGTAACGTTCATTTGATTACCATGTTTTACTAAAATAATTGTTGTAAATTAGAAAACTATTATGTCTGTATATAATTTATATATTAATGTCTATGTATTTAATTTGAATAACTTAATACCATTTAATTTTGCTATCTCTTCATATTTGCTTATTAATTGCATACTTCAAAATCTTGATAATTAGTTGAATTAGTCAGTTTGAAAAATATTTGCTTTATTGATTTTTTCTTTTTAGTTATCCTAGCTCCTTTTGGTCTTGCTGGAACTTTGACTGGTCAGAGCTTTCGGAATAATGACCCTCATACTCAGCGTCTTCTCGAAAACTGGAGGTTATTTTATCCAATTGACCGTGGACCTCACCATTCTGATCTTCCAGCAGCTGTTGAAGTTGTTGTTGGTAAGTGTGTGTTAAATGTAAATTTATTTATACCATATTCATTATTGATGTTTATGTTCATGTACATTATTGTTTAAATTTACTGTTGCTCTATCTAATTTTGTTCATTTTTAGGTGGGATGAAGCTTAAGTACCCTTCCCATTATGTTCTTTTGACAGACTTAGATGATAGCACCCATAGCCTGTTTAGTAACCATAACCAGCCCAACCATCCTCCACCGATGGTGGCACAACCTCTTACAAGAGGTGAGTTGAATGTTCTAAAATAAGATTCAGTTAAACATTATGAAGTAAGACATTGTCATGGTCAAAGCTTGTATATTTGTGAAAATTTAAAAAATAATCCAATTTGTATATTGGATTAATTTTTTTTCTTGATTTTATTTGACACGGAATAATTTTACTGTTTTTGTAAAACGTATTCTTCGTGGATAGAAATCTATGCTTTAAATAAAATTTTAAACATTATTTTCAATTGTGAAACCTTGTGATTTTCCAAAGAAAAAGAAGATAACGCCTTAAAATTTGATATTTTATGTTTTGAGATATGTAGAATCCAAAAATCTAATAAAGAAAAATCTGTCCGTTCACCATATGCTACATTTTATCTCTAGATATGATTTGATAATGTAATAATTTAAATGTTGTGTATATATTTTAGATTATTGTGTAATATTATATTATTATATAATTATAATAAGTTCTCAATAAGTATGTTTGAAATTTAATTTTCCCTGAACTAACCTATTTATTATAAGGAGGTCATTATAAGTTAGTGTTAGTATACTTAACATGTTGATTGCATAGTCTCTGAAGAATTGTACTTTCTTCCACAAAGAGCGTTCTGTTTCATTAGTCAAACAATACCAAATCATTTGCTATATCTTTAGATTCAATAAAGTACGTTATATATGTTTTTCAATGACTATCCTGATTCTGTCATTATACTTTTTATATAATATAATATAATTGAATTAAAATGGCTTTTTAAACAGGAATCTACATATATATTATGGTAATCAACCTGTCAACATTAAATCTTAAGGGAAATTTTATATCTGGTGAACCAAATTCTATATTTTCTCTTTTTATAATATGTTGCATTCTTACATTATTTAACAATTTCAGGTTTAAATCGTGTTGGCCTTCTTGCTGAAAGAGTCTGGCAGGAATCTCTTCTGGTTCACAATATGAATAACTCTAGCAACGGTAGCATTACTAACAGTATTAGTGGCACTAATACTGTTAGTAACAACAATCCGAGTAACACAGGAAGCAGTGGTGGAACTACAAGTACTCCTAGTGTTCCTAGTGCGCCCCAGGTAGGGGGGCCGCCTCAGGCCAACAACCCTGGTTCGCCACAACATACACCTGGACAATGGAACTTCGTCGACCCCATTAGGAAGCAGACGTGTTCTTGCTCTTGCAAGTAAGTGGATAACAGCCTGGGTGGATATACTAGTGATCTTAATTAGTGTTAAGTTTTGTAGGACATATTGCTAGCTTGCTTAAATCTATATTACCTATCTTACTGTCTTCTCTCTTTCTCTATTTATACGTTGTTATGAATATTTATTAATTTGTACTAGTTCCAAGCTATGCTAAGTGTTAACTTATGGATACCTCGTAGTTACAACTTTTATGTAATGTTGTTGTTGTACTTACTCAGTTAGTGAATGTTGTAGTCCTAGATAGTTGATGTATTTTGTGTTGAATGTGATTGTTTTATAGTTGTTTTTGTTGTTCAAATGACATTCTGTCTATTTTCTTTGTTAGTTTTCTGTTGCTGTACTATTATTATTATTTTTTGCTGTTGAACTAACTAAGAAATTGCATGTTTCACTTTTCCGTTTATGATTCTTTGATATATTTATTGTATTGGAACATGATCAGTCAGTTCTTATGGTATGAGGCAAATGAAAATAAACAGAACAAGGAGATGTTCATAAATAGACTTAAATAGTGGCAAAACTATTTCATTTCATATTTAAGGCAATAATACTTCCATTTTTTTTCAAATTCTTTTAATTACATTTCTTTTATTTCAAGCCAACGTTTCGACCCGATTTTGCAGGTCTTCTTCAGGCAAGTGTGTTCAGCCTAGAGTCAAGATTTCAATAATATTTTTTAGCTGAACTATATCAACCATTTCTGTAAATGTTAACTTCTAACTATGCCATGTATTTTTTAAGGATATTGCTATGTAAGATATCAGTTCCTTTTTTATTTATTTATTTCTCTCCTTGCCTTCCGCCTATTCTTGGCTCAACGGATAGTGTGGGGTATCAATGCCAGAGTTAAATGCCCCTCAGTGCTGGGATTGAGCTCCTAATCTTTGATTTTTCAAGTTGCCGGGCAATATGTATTTTTCTCATTTGTTAGCTCGGCCACGCCACCCTAGGTTCGTATAATATCATGCCGATGTTAGTTTCTATAGTATGAGGTAAATAAAAGAACAACAAACTTCTACATTATTTTTATTCAGATTAACTTCCTTTAGCTTCAATAATATTTCTCCTATTGCCCAAAAATATTTTTTATCTCTGTCATAAGAAACATTTTGGATTTGAATCAATAAACTAGAAAAATGAATATTTTTGCTAGTTTTCATTTGGAATATAATATAATGTAATGTAATATGTGTTGGCCAGTTATAAACTTGAAAGACATTAGTTTTTTTGAACATTAAAATTTTACAACATCCACCACCTTCTCCCGACTTATTTCCAAATAATTACTTTTTTCAGAGCACTTGATGCATTTTAAAAAATATAATATTCCAATATAAAGCTAAATACAATTTTCAAATCCAAAAAGTTTTTTGTGAACAAGGGATTATAAAACCTAATGATCATTAGGAAAAAGGTATTGAATCTAAATGAAGTTATTTTATAAATAGGTAGTTCTTTCAATGTCTTCATAAAAAGATACATTTTTTCTGTTCCAACTCAAAAGAAAATTTATTATTGCTGAGGAAATATTAGAAACTTATCGTTAGTCACTTTGATTCCAATTTACTAAATATTTTTCTATATCAAAGTAAATTAAATATTTAAAATATTATTTTTACAAAATAAATTTCTATTCTGATTTAATTGTTTACATTGTTTTGTTTTTTTATGTACTTCGTTGATTATATGTCGTTCTCTTCAAACTTTTGGAATACTTGTCTTGTCTACTTTTATGTCAAACATATTGTTATTTTGTTTTGTTATAATAATACACTGTTATGTATGATAATACTTTTAACCTATAAAATTCAATATTTTTAAACTAGACCTTTAAATAAATAATTGTAAGGATTCATTTATATATTATTACAGTAGAATCCTGATATTTCATACCCTGGTAATTAGTATATCTCAGATTTTTTGAATTCGTGTCCGATGAAAAATTTTCCTTAAACTTTAATAAAAAAAAATAAAACAGTATATTTTGATTTGTCTGTTTTTTTATTCATATTTATTTTTGTCCTTCATGTTGTATAAATATCTTATACAACATGTTTCGAGCACTGAAGTTATTCAAGTGCTCGAAACATACCCTGATGATGACCCATATGCTTGGGTTGAAACATCGGCACAAATATAAAATATTCACAATTACTGCGCCCTGACTATTTATCACCCATGATAGGTTATTCACAATTTTTTTTTTATTCTAGCCCTTTCTTTTTGCCTAATGTTATCTTTCCTTTGAGAAAGCTCAAAAAAATTTCTATTAAAGAAGGGATAAAATCTAAAGCTGTAGGCTGGTGACAAAGAAACTCGTGTATTTAAACTTAGCTTAGTTCCATCTTTAATATATCTATTTTGAACAACATAAAAAAATCTCGTTTTAGACTTGAAAAAGTTCAGAAAATGACTATAATGTGAAATTGACGTTTGAACGCCAAAACTACAAAAGCTATTTAAAAACTGGTTTATGAAAATATAAAATTTTGTTTTAACTTTTGTTCTACTAATAGTTCATTCAAAAGTTTTACAAAAAAGACATCAAAAAAAAAAAAAATTGTGAAGAAAGTATGTCATTGAAATTTTTGTGAGAAATAGTTAATCTTTAAGAAGCTTATTAACTTATAGCCGTATTTATGGTGACTATATAAACTTTCACATATTGAATTTTTGTATTAACATATGTTGGTTACCAACTATGAAAAAACTTGCTATTTCTTTTTATTATTGTTGATACAATCTACAAGTTATCTCGTAGTTTGTTTATTTGGAATAATATGTCAAACATTATTTTTTTATATTTACACCTGTCACTTACATTACGACTATAATTGGATGTGAAACGTTTAAATTAAATTTGCTTTTTAAACTGAAAACCTGAAAAGTTCCGTTTTTTTACTCTTAATTATTGGTTGTATTGATAATTTGAATAAATTAATAATTCATGTTTGATCCATGAATCCTTGATAATACAAATTATTGGGATTCTGCTGTCTTTAATTTTAATTTTTTAATAGCTTTATCCTATACTTATTAAGGTTTATAAATAAGGGTTATAAATAATAATGTTAGTTTTGCTTTTAATTAACCTTGATTATTATTATTTACTTTTTTATGATTGATATTCATTGTTTAAATCTATAAAATTAATAGCAATTCATTTTTGTGGTGTTAGTTATATATTTCAAGTAAATTTTAGGATTTATATTGTCCCTACCACATAAAGTTTAACCAGTAGAAATGAGGCACGATTAAGTAGGGAGGGATTTATATAATCAGATCTTTTGTTTTATCAACATCAAAATTTTGTTAGTTTGCGTTGTTTCTTGTGACTTGAAAATATAGACAGTAGTGACGTTTTTTTCTTTATGTGTTAGTACTGAAGAAGTTCATTTAGTTTATTTCACATTTTTTATATTTTCTTCATTCTGCTTCTTTGGTCCTCCATCTTAAGCTCTGCCCATACAGTGCTCTTTTTCTTTCACTTTCAACTTAAATATGATGCATGGAGAAGGGAATGGAATTCATGTCTCTTCCTCTGTAAAATTGAAGAACAAGGGGATAATTTTCTGTATATAGCAACTCCCTCTCTTCTCCTGGATCCTACCTGCTATTTATCTGGTTTGATAAGTCAGAATGTCCACCTAATTTATGCGCAATCTGAGGTGACACTTACAAATAATTGATTTTTTTTTGCGAAATATAGCCTCAAGATTTTTATTTTCTATGAAATGTGATTGACATAACACATTGCTGGTAAATTTCTATAATCTTAAATAAAATTTAATACTTATTTAGAAAATTGGTACATTCCGGCTTGGAGAATAGAAAAGAGGGATAGAATAAGGCAAGAAAATTAAAAGGTATTTGTTACTCTTAGGCATGTCTGGCCAAATCTTGGAAATTTCATAGAGAAAGGAGCATATGTTGTGAAATATTTAATTTTCCTTAAATAACTTTTTGGGTTTGGTATTGGTATCAAATAATTTATTCTCGTTTTTTCGTTTGTTACCGAATTTCGAAAAATATCAATTAGTTCAATAGCTTTCTCTTATCTTTTTATTTTTTTCTCTAATTATTGTTTTAATCTGTTTTATATGAAATGTAGAAATGTAATGTTCTGAAAAGTTTTGTGTTCAGAATTGTACTCTGCTTTTCTTGAGTCTTTACAAAGTTGTTCTTGATTGGTTTTACAAAATATTTTGGAATAATATAATTTTAATTCTTTCTTCTCTCATGTTTCCTTTCTGGATTTTTTGAACATTTTATTTATTGTAGATAGTGTTGTCCTTCGTAAAATCTCAATTAATGCAGGAATAGTTACTTTTACTATATGATAAAAGTACTGACATATATTGCCAGTTTGATTTATATACCATTGTCACATTTACATGAAAGACCCATTTGGCATATCTTTGTAAGGAAAAGGTCGATATTGATTTTGTATCGGCTTAAATTATATAACTGAAAAATTGAGACTATGGGTTTGTTTGTAATGGATGTGTGGGTGAGCATCCTATTTGCGTAAGATAATAATATGCGAAAGTTGGGCTTGCTAAAGAGAAGTCTTTCGCACAGGAGGAGGAAAAGCCGCCCATGTTCTGGTTCATGTGGTGTTCCACCTTACCATCGCAGGGCACCTCCGCCGCCCGTCACAGAATTAAGGTAATGTGCTCCCTCAAACCTTCACAATAGTGGAGGTTACACCGTACAGTCTTGATGCTTTAGCCTTTTTCATTAATTCACAACCTATTTTAAGTTATTAACATCTGGCATTTTGATTATTATAATAAACACACATGTACATTATTATTTTTATTTCTAACCAAGCCATCAACATAACTATATTTCTTTAAGCTTTCATTTTAGACAATTTATTTTAATGTATTACTGTAAATAATACAGAACAGTGTTTTAGAGCAAACATCTTTTGATGAGTTGTTAATTTTATTTAATGATGAGCCGGAATAAATTA